ATTCACTGTATCCTGTCCTTCGCTTCACAGCACTTACAACAACCTAGCATTACATCTTTATTCCCTTGTCCACTCCCTGCGGTCAAGGATTCTGCTCTGTTCGCCGTTGTATACTCAGTGTCCAGACCCCACCTTATAAGATGCTCAATAAATGTTTGTAGATAGAATGTGCTCCCGGCGCCCAGCATAAGGTCTGCTGGGCACAGAGGTCCCTTGTCTCGGTTGTGAGCCTGGCAGGGCTGGGAGGGTTTGCTCAGGCCCATCCATGGCTACCTCCCTTTGGGCAGACTCAAGGCTGGCTGAATAACATCATTGTCCACTCTGTCCCCCATCCCGACTGCAGTCTGGCCTCATGGAGCCCAAAGATTTCTCAGGTGCCGCCTACAGGCAGGCCGGGCCAGGCCTGGAGCCCAGACTAAAATTTGAAGATCAGAGATAGCTGGCCACAGCCCAGGGATGCACAGCATGGGCCACTGCAGGATCTGGGGCTTGAGCCAAAACCAAGAACAAGGGAGACCCTTAGGAGACTGGCAAGTTCAAGCAAGAAGGGGAGTGGCTGGGTGGTAGCCAGGTCCCCTGCCTCCCTCTTGAGAGGGCGGGGCAGGGAGTGTCCCAGCCTCCCCCAGATGTGTCTCTGCAGCCTCCTGAGGCCACAGTCTCTAGGGGGTGGGACTTGGGGGAGGGGAGGGAGAGAGGCACAGCTCTGCCACATTTGTTTTTCATTTTTGAGTGGTTTCCGGCCCCTTCCCCAAGGCCATTCAGTCTTACAGTTTCCAGGAAGTTTCTGTCACACTACGAGGGTGGCAGGGCCTCTCTGCCCCAAGGCACTGCCTTGTGGGGCGTGTGACCCGATCGGCCCTCGGGACACAAAAGGGAGAAGAGAAAGGAGAAACTGAGGACTGTTCCTCCCAGTCCCCGCCGTGGGAACCAGAGGAAGAGAAGCGCAACAGGGCGTGGTTGGGGAGGGGCCTCATCTTGGCTCCAGTCCCTGCGCCCTGAGGTGCAGGCCGCCTTCAGAGGCTCCGGGGAGGGGGCACCCCCAACCCTTTGCACAGGGCAGGGAAAGTTAGCCAATGGTTTCCGGCTTCCTACCTGCCCCCGCACCGGAGGCGCCCCGGTTTCCGCCCTCCCCAGGCGGCGGGCCAGACCCGATGGGCTCCCACCCTTGCATTCGGTCTGCCGAGTCTTGCCTCAGTTTCCCCATCGAGCCAAAAGCCCGTGCCGGCGACCTCCAGAGGGATGTGGGCAGGAGTAAGAAGTGGACAAAGGGGACTGGAAGAGGAGGGGGGTTGGGAGAGGTTGGGGCCCTGTCCCTTTGCGAAGCCCAGGTCGCCGCGCCTCCCCTCCCCCGCCGGGCATCTGAGCCACCCAGATAACGGGACCTCCCCGGGCGGAGCATGCGCGTGCGTCCCGGCCCGTCGGCCCGAGGGAGAGCAAGGGTTCCCCGGAGGGTCCGCAGGGCGACAGGGAGTGAAGAGGGGGAGTGGGCACGGCGCAGGGAGGGATGCAGGCCCTGGGAGCAGGATGAGGCCGCGGCTGCAGCGCGGGCGTTTAAGATCTCAGATGTGCCCCTCCTCCGAGGGCCCCCCCAACTCGGCAAAGGCGGCCACGGGTCAGAGGCGGCTCCTACCGTAGGCTCCGT